ATAAAAAAAAAATTTTGAATTTACTTACTTGTAGCCGGAGTTAGAGGCGGTCGGATACTTATGACCGCTACTGTAAAAAGGTGTTAAATCTTCTAATAGAATAATAATCCTAAACACACAATTAAAAAAACTAAAAAATTTCTTTCTGAATGATGTCTAAGATTATTGGATTGGTTATTGAATAACTTGAATTTAAATCTGATTAAGAATTTGTAGTCAATTATGAAAAAACATTTAGAAAAAGAGGTCAACAATCTTGTAATTAAAAAAAATCAATTACTATAAATATTTTTATTGATATAATTAAAAAAGAATGAAAGGAAATCAAACTTAAAATTCTTTTTAATTTAATTTGTATTATACCAAAACAATTAGAATAAATAATTGAGAGAAATAGCAATAAGCTAAGTTATTGATTCACAAATCAGTTATAATCACTATTACATATAATTTATAAATATATATATCATTTTTATTAGAATATCAACCTCTTTATAATCACATATAAAAAAGATTAGATTGATTATAAATTAAAATTTAGAAAAAAGATATATAATCAAATTTTAAATGTAACATATTTAAAATATAATACTATAAGGTAAATACTAAAAAATTTATAATGGTAATCATATTAGTATTAAATAAAGAAAATAATATTTATAATATTATACTTTTATGAAAAATACACTCTTTTTAACATTTACATATTTTACTTTAACCCAAAGAATAGTTTTTTCCTATAATACCTACTAATTACCTTATAAAATATTATTCAGCAATAAGCATTAGTTTCAAATATCAAATTTGTGAATATGTAAAAAATAATAAAACAAAAAATAAGAAAAAATTGCTATCTATTTTAATGAAAAAACTCAAATCTAAATATCAATTGTAGTATTATATCAAAGATATTATCATAAAGTGAAAAATGGAATGCTATATTGGAAGGTAAAGATTCTAAAGAAATTTATAAATAAAAGAAATTAAATTTTAGTATTTGACAAAGCTATGAATTTGTGAGTAGAAAATATAATAGCAGATAATATGATTTTAATAGATTTATTAATAAAGGAAAAGATAAAATTTTTTGTTAATGCATTTGATATATAAGACGATGAATTATTATTTTCTAATAATTAATTAGATAGATTTAAAAAACATAATAACGTTTGTTAGAATTAGATATATAGAGAATCTGAAAATGTATTATTGGCATCTTTATTAGAAAAAAATAAAGCTTTGTCAACTTATAAGACAGTACACTCTTATAATATTGATAAAATAGATCTTTATTATCAGATGTTTTTAAATCAAATACTTATAACTAAGCTAATTTGTGATAAAAAGAATGATAAAACATAGATTACAATACTTTTTAGTATAAACATAATAGAAACTGATAAACTCAAACCCTAGGTGATTAGTAATGCAAAAAATCTAAGACCTCTTTTAAAAATTAATCTAGAATAGCTTTTGGTTTATTATCATGAGAATTCAAAAGTATGGATGAACTCAATGATTTTTAAAAAAATAATTCATAAATTGGATAGCTATTTTAGAGTTAAAAATATTAAAAATTTTGATAGAGATTTTATTATTTAACCTGTTATTACATATTTAGTTTTAATATAGTTGTGACTACATAAAGGTAACCTTTTTGCAGTCACACCTTTATATAGTCACTAATTTTTATGTATGATTATATAGGGTCAGACTGTAGTTGAATTTATGCAAATTAGTAGCCGCAGCCAGGACATAGAAATCTCTAAAAAATCAAAAATGTACATCACTGGCCGCAGCCATTTCCTATGTATCACATAATTGTAAGTTGTCATAAAATGATTGGATGAATGCAGACACGACAAATTGAAGAAAAGCCACGAAAAAATTTTTGATAAAATAAACCTTTCGAAAATTTTGACACGATAATAGTAATTAAATACTTTTTGGAAGCATAAAGTACACTAAAATGATTAGTGGAACACTGAAAGTCTTTGCGTTCTTCATATCAATATCTTTGATATTTTTGGATTCGACTTTTGCTTACGTTCGCGAGCCTACAGAAGATAGAAAAAATCTTAAATTAAAACACGACTATAAACTTACTTTCAAAAAGCCATATTATTATAATCATACTGTACCTTTTTTTGATACATATGGCCGTAAGTCTATTTTATAACTAGAAAAAAAATTGGTTTATGTTGAAAAAAGAAAAAAAAAGTCAACATATTTTTAACAAAATTTTTTCGAATTGTTAGTAAATGCTAATTGAATTATATACATTTATTGATTATAGATACTCTCCTCGCAACGGATTTTATTCGATTGGCGCCTAGTGTTCCAAAGCACTCAGGTTCGATATGGGCACAGCTTTCAAACCCACATAAAGAATGGGAAGTAGAGTTATCCTTTAAAATTACAGGGAAATTTTATGTTGGTGGTAGAGGTATTGCATTTTGGTATACCAAAGATCGTGCTGAACAAGGACCGGTATTTGGAAACAAGGATAAATGGGTTGGACTAGTGATCATGTTCGAAACCGTTGACCATATTAGAAAAGTAAGTAAATTTTTTGTCAATTAGTTATGATATGAGAAAATCCCACATTACTAATTATCTGTATTTAATTTTTTAGCGCGAACATCCCGTTATAATGGCTCATCTTAATGATGGTTCCACACTTTATAATAATATAACTGATCCTGGTGACGTGATGCTTGCCGGATGTTATAGATTGTTTCATAATACACCATCACCTGTATTTGCCAGAATATCGTATTATAACAGAACTCTCAAGGTATTTATAATTATAATTTCTTATTAAACTTTCAATAACATAAATTTACGATTATATTCCACAGTTAGCAGTGGATGCCAATGATGAAGGGGGGACGTATCTTCCATGTTTCGAAAAAAAAGATATAGATTTGCCAACTGGATATTATTTTGGGGTTTCTGTAAGCTAATTTTAAGTTTTTTTTTTTAAAAAAAAAAATATACGTGAATGTACATTAATCAATCGATTCATTGTTAAATTAGGCGGTTGCGCAAGGAGAAACGCCTGGTATGCCATTTTAACAAATCGGAGTGTTCAAAAGATTTTATCAACTCATTATTACTTTCTTTATCAGATGATCACGACGTTC